TTTAATTCTTCTTTTCACTTACCTAATCATCTCAACAAACGTTTTTAATAAAGAGAGACACTCCATCTTCAATATCCTTAAAGTCAACAGAGTTGCCACAAGGAACGACTTGGTTATACATTTGAATTGCAGCCATTGTGATATAATGATTAAAACAAGAAAATCAAAAGAAACTGAAGAACAAAAAAAACGTGGAACAACGTCAGAACCATTCATTTGGAAAATCTCTTTATTTTTTTGATTCATTCTTACATGTCAAAAGATTTTACAAACCAAAATAAATCATCATTAAAATTTGTTAAATAATGGAAGTGATAATAATGCTAAGAATAACTATTGCTAATACAGCACTTCCATTATGATTATCATTATCGTTGTTGTCTGGAATAATTGTAGGACAATTAGAAGGAGTATGGTCAGAACACATTTGATTACAACTACCTTCTTTTAAAACTAATTTAATGTCGTCAAGATAAAAGTCAATGTTACCATTAGTTTTACTTTGGAATTCAATTCCTCCAAAAGTAGTTCCATCATTACCAATTTCAGTCATTTTGAAACTAACTTTTTGCCATTCGGTTGTAGTAGTAATAGTTTTAGCGGAAGCATCAGTCTTTCCAGAAGCCCAGAACCAAAACTCTGCATTAGTACTAGACTTAATGTAGAATTCAACAGAATCATAAATGTCAACTAAAACTGTATGAGAATTAGCTAATATTTGGAAACTTCCCCAAGCAGATAATGAGGCTTTAAGAGCAGCATTTCCAGAATGAGCATTATTTTGAACAATTGTTACAGAATTTTTGTTAGTATAAGTCCAAAAAGAATGGAATGAATCTGTGAAGATAATGTCAAAAGATGGTAATGGACAACACTCTAAAGAAGAGGAAGGTTTATTTGTTTTAGTAAGTGTTGTTGGTTCAAAAAAGGTATTATCAGGGATATTAAATTGATTATTTCCTTCATAAATTTTATTTGATATAATATCATTCATTATAATTGTAGCAGTATCACCTGCAATAGAAGTTAAAGTAATTGTAATTGGAGTTGTTATTGGATTACCATTTGCTTGATATGCCCAAGAATTGTCAGATGTTCTTGTTAATTCTTGACAAGTTGAACCAAATGATATTTTTACTCCTTTTAATCCAATGATATAATTTCTTACATAAAATCCTAACCAATATTCGCTCACCCCTTCTTTTGTTAATAATTTTACATTTCCTGTTATATCACAAGCAACCATTCTATATGTAATGTCACAATGTCCTGTATCTTTCTCACAAATTTTTGGAAATGCATTAGCAGCTAAGTCAAAATGTGTTTTATCTGATGCACACCAATCTGAATTACCATTAGCAGGACATAAATCTGTTACCATAAATCTTATTGATCCTTTTTCTCCAACTGCTTCATAACAAATTCCACATTGTTGACTAGAAAGGTAAAACGCTTCGTTTGGTGCAGCTCTAAACATTGTATCTAAATTATCAGTACCTAAATGACATGCAACAGAGTCTGCACCATACCCTTCATAATAAGTAATATCAGCTGTTTTACATTCAGATAAAGGAGTTAGATTCCCAAATGAATAAGCAATAAATAAAACAATTAACATCCTTTTTTATCAAAAAAAAAACACAAAATTCCAAGTTCTTTTTTCTTCTTTTTTTTTTAATTCATTTATTCCTTTTAAGTAATTTGAATGAAAACTTCAAATTTTAAATATAGTCTTTTGACTTATTGTTAGTTTTCAAAAAAAAATTCCTTAAAAAAATTAACTTATTAAATAAATTATTAACAGAGTGTTGTTTGTGTAAGAATTACTTTTTTTTGAAAATTGAGTTGTTGAAGAATTGATGAAATGGATTTTCGGACTTTCATTAATAATATTATTTTATCTTCATATTTTTTAGTATCTTCTCCATTTAATCCATTTATAAATTTTTTAATTTTTAGTTCTTTTATTTTTACTTCTCCTTGAAGAGTTGAACAACAAATAATTAATTCATCAAGTGACTGTGTTAGTAAGCCTTCACGAATCTGTTCAACAACTCTCCTTAATAGTTCGTCTGTGATTGGGTCATTATTTTTTCTTTCTATTTCACTGAGCTGTGTTTTAATAAGAAGTACTGTCTTTTTTGACAACCTTTTCATCAAGTTATTATTTGACACCTTTTTAGTTTTTTAATTATCTGTTCTGTGTTGTTCTTTTCACTGAAATTCTTTTATCGTAAGTTTAGTTTCATATTAGTAAAACAAAATTATGTTCTAAATTACCAAAAAGTAGATATAAAGACTTTTGTTTTATTGAAAGGAAAATTATATTATTTGTGATAAAACAGAACAACAACAATCAAAAATCGAAGGTAAATTTGATAAGCTATGTAGACAACTTTTTGCATTTATTTTAATCTCTGTTTTTTTTTCTTTTCTTATGTTTTTTTTGTTGTGTTTCAAAACAATGAGAAATAATTTCTTGTTAGTCAAATAATAAAAGAATTGTTTCAAAATAAAGAAGTCAAAATCCATATTCTTTGAATTAAAATAATACCAACATATTATTAAAAATAGTATAACATATAAAGTTTATTGGTACTGTTGAAGTTATTGCATTTAAACAGAATAATCAAAATAACATCTACTCAATTAGCATTAAACATTTTTACAACAAATGAATATTAATTAAAAGACTTAAATGATAATATAAATATTTATTTAGAAGAGTATGTATGAAATAAACTAGATACTACTAATAGTCATTTCTAATAAATATTTTTATTCTTAATGTTATTTGTTATTTCTATTTTAACCTATAACACTATGAAAAATAAATTGATAATATACTGAGACGAATAAAGAAAATAGAATGATTATCATCTACTTTGTATGACATTTATATTATTTTATGTATTACTTTTAATAATGTTGTTTTACTAACATTCTATTTCTGTTTGTAGCAGTTTCTTTCTTCTAAGTAGTAAGATGAAATATCTTTTGAATATAAAAAATAAAGCTTAAAAAGAAATTAAAACATTAGTGAGTTTTGTTTTAACTTTATAACACAATGTGTTCAATGCTTTGAGTTATTGGAAAGAGTAAAATTTGGAGATGGGAATTGGCAAAAGATAATACTTTTTGATATATTTTAATATAATATTCTTTTATTTTATTGTAATAAGTTTTTATAAAGATTCTACGAGAATAGAAATACACTTACAGAGGGTTTTTGAAGTTGTATCTTCATCATATCCATAAATAGAAATTAATTTGAATGAATCAAAATAATCAATAAAATGTACTAATTGTTGACAACTCTTTTTATCTTAACCTATTAAATCAATAGATGATAGAATAAATTTGGTTAAATGTCCTTTGTTAATTTTATAGATTATTTATTTTTTTTTTTAATTCAAAAGGAATAAAAATGAATTTAGTCTTAAGTCAATACTGATATTCATTTTATAGATTGTATAAGCTTTTAATGCAATATAAACAATATAAATATGAATTTCATTCATTTTCCATTTCAAATTCAAAATTTTCAGTATTATTCATTTCTATTTCTATCCATAACTTCTTTGATTAATTATTTTTGAGTTAGTTGTATTAAGAATTTGGTCAATAATTTTGTTAATTGTAACATTATTGATTGAATCTTTATTAACACATTCTTTTAATTTATCTTTTATTTGATCAATATCATTCCAATAAATACTTTTATTAAGTGAATGAGATGAAGGATATGTGACACAACAAACAATATCAGAACTATTTATAAAAACAAGAAGTAAGAGAAAAACATAAAATTTCATTTTTGTTATTATATAAAAAAGTTGAAAAAAAAAGAAAAAGGAAAGTAAAAAAAAATAATAAAGAAACTAACACATAAATTAAAACTTAATGAATGAATAAAATGAAAGAGTTTATTAGAACTGGTTCATTTAAATGGATTTTTCTGAGTCAACAGAGGAAGAAGTAGTAAAAGAAATAAATCCAGTTCCAGCACATAGATTAATATCTACAAATACAAAAGAAATTCCTGGAATACTTACAATGGTTGTAGAAGATAATTATAAGAAACCATTAAAAAAAGAAATTAGTGATGACATTTTTGAAATAAAAGATGACGTCGAAATAAGATGTCCAAAACAAATAGAAAAAGAACTTTATCTTATGGAAAAAGCTGGAACAGGAAAAGAAGAAAGTGAATTTGAGCAACATGACATCATTAGATTAAAAAAACTTGTAGAAGAGTTTTCTAATAAAATGCCACTTAATGAAATACCACTTACAGATGAAGTAATAAATGACTTGTATGGACCTGTTAATCCAATACTTGAAAATGGTGAAGAAATAGAAGAGGAAGAAGAAGAAATAAAAACAAGAGATGTTATTGAAAATATTAATACAGGTGTTTTGTCATTAGACGATATTCCTGGAGAATTGGATGATGTCTTTAATGAATTTGATATTCCAAAAGAAAGAAAAAAAGAAATTAAAGACTTTTTTGATGATTTAATAGAAAACATTATATTAACTATTAGTGATAAAGGAGGTGGTGTTCGTTCAAATACCAGATTAGCTAAACTTTTATCTTCAAAACTTGGATTTCCTTATGAACTATTACTTCAAATAAATAAAGAAGTTACTGGTTTAATGAAGAGTAATTTAGGTGTTCGTCTTCCACATAACTCTTTTTCTCTTAATGTTATTCGTGATGAAAAACGAAGAAATAAATTATACGAAATGTTCTTAGGGGATAATATTTCTAATAGCGTTGAGGTTGAACAAAAACCAGAATTGGATCAACCATCTTTTACTTATCCATCAGAGGAGTTTGAAGAAAATTTACTGGAAAGACACAGTAGTAATTTAGTTAAAAGAAAAAAAAGTGAAGAAAATAAAAATGTTGAGGTAAAAAAAAAACTTAGTCCTGGCTCTTCTTCAATTATCTTTCCTAAAAACAAAACGCCATTTCTATCCACTCAGCCTATTAAACCTCTAGCCAACTCTGATATAATTCCACAACTAGGAAAATACCAACTTGACTCACATCAACTCGATAGTCCATTCACACAAAAAATGTTAGAAAGCGCTGTTACTCCTCTACGAATGGAGACTGTTAGTAAAAGTGTTGTAAAAAAGCAAACACATAAAGCAAGGATGGTAGATAACAATAAAAAGACTGGCTCATTAAAAAAAGAAAAGCCAATAACACAAGAAGATGAAACAATAACACAAGAAGATGAAACAATAACACAAGAAGATGAAATAACAAGATATGAAGATGAAACAACAAGATATGAAGATGAACAACAAAAAGAGCATACAAACACACAAATAAATGATGGAAATGAGATTATAAACAAAACAATAAAAAAACTTGAAAGAAGTAAAAAAGAACAACATGAAGATACTTCGTTTAATGAAGAGAAACAAACAAATGAACCAGACAATAGTATTGATCAACAAACAGATATTCCATTTATTGAAGAAAGAAAAAGTCCACCAATTGACTTAACTATTGATAAAAAGTTATTTAGAGATATTACACAAGAATTTTTTGGATGGAACCAAAATAAGGTTATTGATGATATTGTTGTTAATCAACTAAACCCAAATAATATTAAAAATGGAATAAGAAAAACTAGTCATTCAGTTCACAGCAAATTAATTGAAGACTCATTAAATATTAAACCTCAAGACCACTCTAAACCACCCGAAACTGAATCTCAAGGATTTCTTTCTCCTAATGGAGAAAATGTAAATAATTCTCCTAACCAATCTCTAATAAACAACTCAGAAAACAAAACTCAGAAAACAACTCAAATCAGTGAAATTAAAAAGAAAATAAATCATAGTGTTAAAAAGAAAGTTTCTGAGTTAAAAAAAGAAAATAAAGACTCCCAAACGATACAGGAAAAAACAACAAAAGAAGGTATTGAAAAAACAGTTCATTTAAAAGAAGTAAATCAACAAAAAGAAATTGACCAACCAATATCTGAAAATAAGACTATACCAATAAAACCATTAGAAACAAAAGAGGTAATTGATGCGGAGTGTATTGATTTGACGTCAACTAAAAAAGCTAACAACAAAAAACACAAAAAAACAGTAAAAAAAAAGAGTATCAAAACATCAATAGTTGGACTTAGTGCCTTACAAGAAGATGATAAAAAAAAACTAATAGAAAGATTATCACAAATAAAAATAATTGTGCCAGAGCAATTACGTAAAGTTACTGAAGAAAATAAAATATTAGATGATGCTAGAAAAACAGAACAAGAAGAAGAACAAAAGAAATGGAATATGTTAAAAATACAATTCTGGGACTCAATTGTTTCTAGAAATGGAGAAGAAGAAAAAAGAAAAAACAACACTGTCATAAGAACAAGAAAAGATAGCAACACAGAAATAAGAAGTGGAGGGGATGAAAAAATGTTTAGATACAAAGACGTTGAATCAAAAGTTGGTGAAAATGATACGAAGAAAACTTGGGATAGCTCAATAAAAACAGGAGAAAATAACAGACCACAACAGTGGGAAATAAAACAACTCAAAAGTTCAGAAGAAAAGGAGATGTTACCACAAGAAGAGTATAACCCAACATCGGATAATATACCAAAAATACCTGAAGACGATCAAACAATAACCGAAGAAGATGAATCAACAACGTTGGAAGATGATTATTTGAAAAAACAAATAAAAGAAGAGTTAAGAATATGGGAACCAAAGAAGTTGATACAAGAACAAGAAGAAAAAAGAAACAATGAGGTAGATAAAGCAGAATTACTTAAAAAAGATCAAATTCATATTAACGAAGAACAAGCAATAATAAAAAATCTAACACAACCACAAGGTAATATTCAGACTTCTCTATTAACAAAACCAATTCAAGAAGAAGAAATGATTATTGAACACGTTGGGGTATCTATTCCTATTCAAACAATAAATGAACAAATAAATGTGGATAAAAAAATCAAAAAAGTTGAAGAAAAGATGCATTTAGAAAATAATAGAAAAGAAAACTCTGAGGAAATACAAAAAAAGGAATTAAACGAATCAACTAAGTTAAAAGAACAAAATGAGTTACTACCAAATGAAATAAAACCAACCAAAGAAAATGATGTATTTTTAAATAAATTAAAGAAGTTACTAGAAGAAAAAGATATAACACTTCAATTAAAAAAACCTGAAAACCAAATACACCTAAATAAACCAAAACAAGTGGAAGAAGAAAAAGACATAATACCAAATGAACCAAGAAAAATGGAAGAAGAAAAAGACAAAAAACAAACATCAAAAGTACGAGAAGAAAAAGAAATGACATTAAATGAACTAAAACAAACTGTAGAAGAAAAAGATGTAACGCAAAAAACAAAAAAAACAGTTGAAAATAATATAAAACCAAAACAAGCAATAGAAAAAGAAATAACACCAAATGAGTCAAGAAAAATAGTAGAAGAAGCAAATAATGTAATAACAAAAAAACAAAAAGAAGTAGAAGAAGGAAAAGAATCAATCCCAAAGTCAAAAGAAGTAATTGAAGAAAAAGGAACAAAACAAAATGAGTCAAGAAAAATGGAAGAAGAAGAAAATAATGTAGTACTAAATGAACCAAAACATGTAGAAGAAGAAACAGAAGGTAAGGTAGTTGTAAATGAATTTAAAAAATTAATAGAAGAAAAAGACATAATGTCACAACCAAAAAAACCAGCAGAAGAAGTACTTCAAAATGAATCAAAAAAACCAGAAGAAGAAATACTTCAAAATGAATCAAGAAAAATGGAAGAAGAAAATAACATAATAATAAATGACCAACAAATAACAGAAGAAATAAAAGAAATAAACACAAGCCAACTAAGAAAAATGGAAGAAGAACCAAAAGAAGTAGTAGTAGAAGAAAAAGATAGAAAACCAGAATCAAAACAAATTGTAGAGGAAGAAAAAGCAATAACATCAAATGAACCAAGAAAAATGGAAGAAGAGGAATTAAAAGAAAAAGTTAAAATTAATACAACATTAAAAAAAGAGTATAAAAATCAACAAAACATATTAAAAAAACAAGAAGAAAATGTAGTTTCAGAAGGTAAAGAGATAGAACACCAAATAGTACATAATGTTCAAGAAAAAGAATTAGATAAAGAGGTAACATTACCTAAATTAATAGAAGTTAATAAAAAAATTCAATCTCAAGTCTCTCAATCACAAAAAGAAAAAAAGTTAAAAGCTCCACGAAGTTCAGATGAAATAAAAAGAAAAACAAAAATACCTAAATTATCGGAAAAAACAATTAAACTTCCTGCTAATGAAATTCAAAATAATACCGATGAACAAAAAATAAATCAAAATGGGATTAAAGGTATCTCAGAATTAATTTCAGAACCTTCTACTACTGACATTACTAAGAAAGGTACAGATATAGAAAAAGAGGAAATTGATAAGAAACAACCAAAACTTATTTTATCAGAACCACTGAATAAAATAAAAAAAGATTCAAAAACAAGAAAAGAAAGTACAACCAATGAAAATATTTCACTTGAAAAAGATACTAAACAATCAGAAATTCAAATAAAAAAGAAAAAAATAACAAAGTCATCAACTAAAAGTATTGAAAATAGTCATAATATTTTAAAAAATTATCAGGCTCAACATCAAAGAAAAATTACAATCAATCCTAATCAACAACCAAGTCTTAATATTTCAATTATCAATGAACAAGCATTACACAAACCAATAGAAATAAGAAAACTATCAACTGGAAGAGTTGAAAGTGGTATTTATAATATACCAAATTTAAACTTAGAAATAACTGGAATAAGTAATTTGTCTGAAGGAACTACAAAGGATGTTGTACAACCGATAAATCCAAGTCAACTCCAATTGCTTAAAATTAATGAAAGTAGTCAAGAAAATATATCTTCATTAAGAAGTAGTGATAATATTCAAGATATACAAAAACTTCATTTAGATACTCAAAGTACCAAAAATAAATATGTAACACCAAAAATCACTAAAATTATTACTCAACAACCTTCACTTGAAAAACAAAGTTTAATAAAAGCTCATGAAAAATATACTCATTTTCATCCAGTCACTTATGAACAACCAAAACTTAATATAATAAAAAGAAGAAAATTATCTATCGGAAGAGTTGAAAGTGAGGTTAATGTCATTGACCAAAAACAACTCATCAATCTCACTGAATGGCACGACATTCATAAAAAGAGAGAAAGTGATACTAAACCACCTAAAATCTCGAGAACAAACCAACAAAATGAAATAGAAAAAGAAAAAAAAGTAAAAAAAGAAGAAAAAGACGTAAAACAACTGGAAGTTCAAAAGAAAAGAAAAAGAATTGGAAAACTATCTACTGGACGTGTTGAGAGTGATGTTTATAGTATAGGTCATCAAAGCATTGAAAAAGAACAAAATATAGTTACCAAACAACAACCAACTGTTAAAGTCTCATTAGCCAGTGAACAAAGCATCACAAAGCCTATAAAAATAAGAAGGTTGTCAACTGGAAGAGTTGAAAGTAATATTAATAGTATTTTTCCTAGAATTACAAAAGTAACAAGACTATCAACTGGAAGGGTTGAAACTAGTGTTCATAAACTACCACCTCAACCAACCATACATACAACTCATCAACTAGAAACAAAAATTAATAAACTATCTGAAATTAAATCAGAAACACAAAGAAAAAGCATAAAGGAAATATCCCAAGTTCACCAAAATAGTGTTTTAAATCAAGTACATGTACCTATAAATATTTCTGTTGTTAATGAATTACAAATACACACACCCATAAGAATAAGGAAATTATCTTCAGGACGTGTCGAAAGTAATATTCACAATATACAATATCAATCCACTCAACCAGAACCAAAAATATCACTCAACCAGAACCAACAACCAACTCTGAGGTTTTCAGTTATTAATGAACAACAAACCCATAAATCAATCAAAGGAAGATTATCTATTGGGCGAGTTAAAAGTGATGTTCATGAAGTTAAACCTAAACTTCCAAATTCTTTACAACAAAGACGTCTTCACGAAAAAAGAATCTCAATTACTACAAATATAAATGATGATGTAAAGTTGCAAAATGACCATTTGGTTTATAAAAGCATTGCAAAACCATTGAAAGATCAAAGTACATCAAAACAAACAGTTGAATCTTTTAAAGAAGACAAAAAGAAAAAATCATCTGAACCACTAATACATAGAAAATCTTTAAGACACTCCAGACTTTATGAATTTAAGAAATAGACTAAAATGATTTACTTATTTGTTTATACTCTTAACATTTCTTTCTTTTGATTTATTTATTTTGATTCATTCAGATTAATAAAGAAATTTTCTCCTTTAAACTTCTCTTCTCCAAAATTTTATTATTTTTATTGTAAATAACGTTTCATGGTTATTTCAAAACAGTTAAAGGATAAATACTATGGGGTTTTTAACTTACTTTACAACTCGTTCACAATAGCCATTAAAAATATCAAACTTTATTCTTTTCTATTTTTCATATAGTTTCAAAAATATTATTTTTTAAATCTAAAGAGTAATTTGGTTAAGTCCCAAGCAAAACAGAAAAGGCAAAATATGTGATAAGTTTTAATGAATGGTGTTGTTATAAATTTATAATTGAAAGTACTCTAAAAGAGCTGTTTTAATTATCATGCTAGAGCAAAATAAATAAGGGACAGAAATAAAAGAGTACTAAATTAAGTTTTAGTAGATATTGATTTTTTATTTCATTTTATTTATTTGAGATTATTACACTTTCACTCTCTTCAGATTCATGTTCATAATTTATTTCTCTGTATCTATATTCTCCTCTTTTATATCAACAAATTATTTCATCAATTATTTCAAATTATTATTCATTTTATCTATTACCATTATTTAAAATTTCGGTTATAATATTGTGTTCATTCAATATCCTTACTATTTCTTTTTTGATTATTATTCCATTTATTGTCATTAATATTTGAATTTCTTTTTTAATCTATTAGTTTGTTTTATTTTCTCTTAATAAATTTTATATATTTTAACTTTATCAATAAATATTAGTTTTATCTTTTTATCACTTCTAATTATTACCATTTCATTTATTATTCTTATCTGTTTTATATTCTATATAAATATATCGTCTTTTATGATTTATTTATTGTTATTAATTATTTCTTTATTTTCTATTCTTCTATTGTTTTTATCATGTTCATTTGTGTTGTTGTTTATTTTCATTTCACTCTATTGTTTTACTCTCATTTTCTTCATTATATTCTATTTTATATTTTATGTTAGCTATTCTCTTCATACATTCATTTATAAATTCATAATTAACTTGTATCTTCTTATTTACATTATAATTTATTATTTTATCTTTATTTCTTGTTATTTTATATTTATATGGGGTACGAAAATTAGCAAAGAAAAAAT